TGAACGTTGGGATTGAGCTGCTTTTAGTCACATGCTATCACACCAACTCAACCTCAGTCTGTCTACACCAGAACTTCACATCTTTCCTCCTTTATCGCCAATAGCCATTCTATCCCCTCCACCTCCCCAACCGGTTGCTCTGTTCTTTACCTCTCTCCCCTGCTGCCCTCCACTCCACTACCACCTATGGCTCGTAGTAGGCGTTGTTGCTTCTTCCTTTATATTACCAAAATCCCTCATTGCGCCTTGATTCTTAAACTCTTCTTTTCCCCAACTCACACTTACATATTGTTCCTATTCTAGCTGTCATTTTCCATTTATCATCTGTTGTCATCCTCTGCCCAGGTTCCATTGCTAGTATTAAACCTACTCAGAATACATAGCTCATAAAACGGGCAAGACTATAGTTCATAAAGCCAGAGAATGTACACCAGTCAAGATCTCACCACAACTTCTAGATCTAATGTTATTTTAAATGCCTTCTAAAGAAGGCGGAGTGGCAGAGAATTCTGCCTACTGCTAGTTGAAGTAGCCGAACAGGATTTGGGAAGCAGGCACACTTCAGCTAAGTCAGAGTGGAGAGCAGAGTAAGCACTGTTTACTGAAGCTAGGGAGAGGATGGGGAGTCCCACCCTGCTTTTATTAGATATGGGGGATCTGTTTTAATTCCCCTGATTGCCTATAATATTTTTGAACACTTGTTATGCAGTTTACACCATTTGGAATCTTTACTCAAGACTGAATGGGCCTACCAGCACTCTATGTGGATTGTTGTGCCCTATATTCAGCTAGCTGGAAGCAGTATTCTACTTCTTGAACTATATGCAGAGGGAGTGGAGCTACTTATTCACAAATGAAGCAGTTTCCCATTTAATGCTAACCACAACCAGAATTATATCATCTCCAACTTCACTATAATAGGAACACAGGAGTTGCCAGACAGGATCAAACTTAAGGTCCATCTAATCCAATATCCTGTCTCTGTCCTAACAGTGGCCTAGCACTAAATGCTTCAGAGTAAGGTGTAGTAATTGTGCAGTAGGCAGATGTTGGGTAATCTGCCCCAATTGGGTCTTATCCTACCCTAATAGCTAGAGACCTGCCTAAACCACAAAGTATTTAATATCTCTTTTAAAACTTTAACATGTCTGTCACATTCAGCACTTCTGCTAAATATGATTGTACGTTTTTCAGCAATACAACTATCTCCATGACTTTCGAGAGAACCTGGCTGCACATCTGTCAACAAAAGATGCAATATTAAGATCAGTATCACGATAAACTAATATTGGCATTATGGTATAGCTGTTGTGTACATATGGTATTTTGGCTGAGTACAAGTTCTACGTAAAAAGACATCTCTCACCTACATGACCTTTAATACCACTTTATTAGTCACTGCTTCTGGCAAAGTATTATCCTAACACCCCATCTCTCTACTGTAAATAGATACAAGACTGGTGCTGGAAAGGGTCTTGTAAGCTATAGTAATATCCTGCATTTCAAACTTCCAAGGACTAATTTCTAAGTTCATTCTCTACAAATATTTCCACACATGAAGGGAGAAATGTTATGCTGGTGTCCCCTCCATTTCTAATGGGCTTGTTTTAGTACAGTAACTTCAGCAGTTCACTGCTGATGTATTAATTCCCTTCATCAAGTATGTCCTTAGCAGTATACAAGTTTCAACACTCTGAACTAGTATTTTGGTTTTTAAATTTTGGCCTTTTCTGTATGTTGCATTTTATGTATTTACTGAATGGAGGTATTACAGGGGATGTCAAATAAGAAATAAAACGAATGCATTATCTATTTGTATTTTTTTTCTTGTAAGTAATCAGTGGGAATAATTGGGGGTGGAAAGATTGAAATGGGAATAAAAAGATCTGTGAACTTAACAGTAGCCACCTGAGCTCTAAGAGCCATGGCTATTGAGAGCCAGAAAGGGCCTCCTTTTACTCTTCTGTTATGAATGATTTTGAGTGTTCCAGAGCTGTAGTCTAGTTCTTTCCACAAGTCCTTGACTAATGTAATTTGATAGCATATGCTTGTGTGGGGTGGTCTGGTTCCGTCCTCAACAACTAGGTCAGTATTCTAGCTGAAATCAGTGATCTAATAGACTTGGAGTAAAGAAATACTATTCAAACCTTTGCCATCATGCTGAGGGTTCCCAAATGAATGTATTTGCTCTTTATGCTCCACATCTTGTAATTCAAAATGGGAGAAGTTCTTAATGACATTCAAGGCTACTCCCCACCACAGTGATCTTGCACTTGAATAAAATTAACTTCCTCAAATCCACCAAAGTCACTCTGGTGCTTCTGCCATACACAGCACCATAGTGTTTCCAGCTAGGGTAAAACACTAATCCTCTCCCTCCACTTGAGCCATAGTGCTATTGTCTTCTTTTCCAGCAGTAGCAGTCTTTTGCTTTCAGTATCATGGAGTTAAGGTAGGGATGGAGCTTTATAAATGACAAGATCTCTCCACTATTCGCCCATTATAACCACCTCATGCTTTTGTCTTTATACCTAATCTGATACATAAGTCATATGGAAGAATCTCCCTCTCCTCCAAACTATTTAGTTCTCTGAAACTTAACTGTGTAAACAACATGGTAGGTTAACTACTGTAAGAGCCTTAATGCTAGAACTGGATCACCTTAGGGTTTGCAGAAGAGCGCACACAGTTTTTGAAGGAATTCTCTGTGAAGCTCAGACAGGTTTCACTTGGTATGTTACAATAACCAGAACTCATTTTAGTTTGACAACTTTCCATTTTATCTGCTGCCTCAATCACTGATCTTTTAAACAAATGAGCACATATCTAACTCCTAAATATTTGCAGTTTGTGAAGAAAAGTGACTAAAGGTTAAAATTTGTTAGGTTTATTAGGACTTCTAAAATTTTGAGTAATATGGTCCTAAATGAACATATGCCTTGAATGACAGGTTTCAGAGGAGCAGCCGTGTTAGTCTGTATCCGCAAAAAGAACATATATATCTCCTCAATATATGTTCCATTCTATATGCATCCGAAGAAGTGGGCTGTAGTCCACGAAAGCTTATGCTCTAATAAATTTGTTAGTCTCTAAGGTGCCACAAGTACTCCTGTTCTTCTATATGCCTTGAATGTAGCAGGCTACATGCACTTGACACTGAGTTGTGCAAATATACATGTACAATTTAATTGAGACCTAAATTTTGGAAGGTGTAAATAACATTTTTTGAACTACACTACCCTTGGACATGGGAAGATTACAGGAGACAGCCTTTTGTCTGTTATTCACTTCAATATAAGTTTCAGTCTCATGTTCTAAATTTACCACCAGTTCTTTTTGTACCCAGTCATTAAATGCATGTGTAAAGGCGAATTCCTTCCCAACAAATTGTAACATAGTTAGTTAGGCTTTAGCATGCACCATGTATTCTTTTCTCCACTTGTGAAGTGGTTAGCACAAGCTTTTTTAGATCACGCTGGAGATAGTTAATAACTGTAGCTTGCTGCACCTGGGCCTTTATAGGTAGCATAAAATATAGAAATCAGAATTAAAGAAAAGTAGACCATTTATAGATCTCCCCACTTCACTGTCTAATGTTTAGAAGTAAAGGTGCATAGATGGTCTTATCCTGAAAAGATTAGTTGATTAGAGTTCCTCATTTCTCAATGACTTCTATACCAAACTTAGATTTGTACCAACACTACAAACTAAAGCTGAGATCTGAGTGTCAAGCTGGGTTCTTCTGTCTTGCCTATCATTAGCACCACAATTCTGCAAGCCAAATTATGGTCCTAACTGTACCTATGCAACCCCATTGACCACTAATGGAAGTAACTAGTGTTGATGAGGACATAATTTATCCTGCAGAAGCTTTAACTGGCAGGCAGGAGGGGTGACAAAAAAGACACTACTGGCAAATTGCGTAATTCTAATACAGCAGTCAGTGAAATAATGGAGACAAACCCCTCCCCCCATGTTTTTACAAAGTCACTTTTAAAGGTAAAACTGCACTTAAACTTAACAATTGCTTAAAATGGAATTCAACTTAATACTCTAGACCCCAATTCTGCACATTTTTCCGTGTGCATGATTTGATTCCAAGGAGAATACTCACATGCATAAAAGCAAGGCACAGGTAGGAGAAGCTGTAAAATTAGGGCCCTAAATACCTGTCAGTTATGAATACAGGAACAGTAATTTTGTTCAGAGGAAAAACTCAAATTCTGCTCCTTTTTTGTATGTGCAAAGGTTTGTCTGATCATACTTGCTTTCATGAGAAACAAGTAGTTTATGGTTAATAACTTAATTTTTAACAAGAAAAAGAAATGCTATTTTCTGTTAGTTTTTACTAGCCAAATCCAATCCACAACTTCTCATGCCACAGAAGTCTGACCCTATTTCTTTTATGAAGACTTCTAAAGTTTCAGAGAACATTCTCCAAGTTAGATTAACCTAGACACTTCCATTTCATTTATTTGTCCATGCTGAGCAGCATATTGAATGATGGGTTCAAACCAAAATTTTGGCTGCAAGTTTGCTCTTGGATATGATTGCACGCCCTCCTAGTCAGGAATATTCTGATTCAAGATGATTTGAGCCCCCACCTCTAATTTAGATCTTTAAAGACTTACATGGTTTAGGCTGTAGCTACTAGAGAGAGAGAGCTGAGCACACTGCACCAGCCAAGAGCAGATAAATACAGTGCTCCAACTTTTGGATGATTGGGGGCTGGCGGCAGAACTCTTAATGAAGGCATCTCAATACTAGATTTCATGGTCTGATAGTTTGTTAATCTACAGGGTACAGTGCAAAAAAGTGTCACAACAATTTGATTAGATACTTTAGGAAACAGTTTGAAAACAGAAGCTGTCAAGCCACAGCGGGAAGAACTTTTGAAAGCCATGACAGCATGAACGCCATAAAAGCAAAAATATTAACTTTCATCTATTGCTGTGGGATGCAACACTTTCCTTGCAGCTCAGCAGCTTGTCAAAGTCATTTGTTAAAGCAGGCAAAGGGTGGAGAGAGAAATAGGGAAATCAGCTTTAATCCTTTTTGAAGAGTGCTAACTATGATCCTGACAGTGTACATAATTTAAAGCTCCAATTTCAAACTGTGGTTCTGGGGAAAAGACTATACAAATTAATCATACTTCATCATTAGAATGGCTCAATGGAATTCTCAATTATGTACAGTTTGGGGTACATTATTCCTTATGAAAATAGAAAAAAAAATTTAACTCTACAGCTATTTCTATCCCATGGAGGAAAACACATATTTGCAACAAAAGCATGAAATATGATAAAGACACTTCAAACTAAGAAGCTATTGGATTTTAATTTCATGGAGTTTGTATCTATTCTGTCAGTTGTCTCCTTTGATTTGGCTAAGGCAAAAATCATTATCCACATAGAAAATTTTCTAAGAGTGCTCGGATTCCTTTATTCCAGAACTGAAGGCTAATCTGCATTGAATCCAAAAATCTGGTCCATATCAGAAGGGTCAAATATCAATCTATGTAAACACATTTTACTAAAGCCAGAGATGCTATCTGCACCACCACACACCTTCCTCAAGGCAAACATTTCACCATTCTTAAACTAGTTTAAGTGGGAAAGATTTCTAAACTTCTGAAGCTAAACTAACCAGTAGCTCATAGCAAGAGGAATTACAATGCAGTTCTATCAATGCACATCTATTTCCACTCCCCTCCCCCCACTAAAAACTATTAACATAGGGACCAACTGAAAGTACAGGAAACAAGATCAGAAACCTTGTTAGTGTCTAACAGTTCTGTGTAAGTATCTTTTCCCAGATATAGCCCATCTCAATATGAATTTTAATAGTAATGCTACTGTCATTTATGAATTAAGTAGTTAAGTACAGCATATAAACTTACTTTTTTAAAAAACAAGGCACTGGAAAAAACTGAACATTTCTGAATTTGAGATTTTTATTTATTCCACTAAGGAACAGCAGGACAGTTTCTCAGTCTCACTGTGTCTTGGAAATGTCTTTAGTGTGACTTGTAAACCCATAGGAGCAGTATTTTTACCACTGGAGTTGATCAATCTTGCATTATTAGCCAATTGGTTAATAAGACTGTTGCACAAACATTTAAAAATAAAATCTTTTAAATTCATTCCTTCACAGACAACTCAATGTTTCCTATCACAATAACTTATGCTTGAAAATTAAAGCAAGGATATTTAGTGTTTGGTGGAAATATGGGAAGTTTCAGAACCATGCATACACAGGGAAAGATACCCAAATATAAAAAACAGAACTACTCTTTCTACACGTGTATCCGTGAGGATATCTAAAGAGAAAATACATGAAGCTTTCGGTCCTTCAGAAGCACTTTATAGCTACAGGTGATTTATAGTTAAATGGAGTTTCAAAAGTCCAAAGTGAGCCACTATAAGGTCCTGTAAACAAAAAATTCTAGGATACTAAGGACAGGCAGTAATTAATAACTACTTGAAGAGTTATGGCTGTTCCTTATGGAGCGCAAAGTCAAAACTGTTCAAAACCAGAGAATCATTTAATATCAATTTACACTTAATTCTTTTTAATTTCAACGTCCCAGTAAAATATACGAAAACAGTCTTTCCACAAGTATAAAGTGTGGAAACATTTTAAAAATAGGGGAGTCATTTTTTTTTCCTAATGCAACTGTGATCATCAGATTCCATAATTTAATCTTGGTAACAAATTCTTGTTGGAAAGAATCCTTTTGTTTTGTGGCTTTTGCATGCACTTAACTGGAACCAATTTTGCAGAGTGTCTTCTTAAGAGCTCACCAAAACATAAATCATGCTAGAAAAGAAAAGAAAAATTTAAAATGTACTAAATTTAGAGGCAATAGTTTGATTAGATAAGTTAACAGTGTTATGCATTTCATTATATTATGCACAGATTCATTTCCCACTGAAAAAGAGCAGACACACAGCTTGTGTCATTACAATAAAATACTGATAGTTCACCATGATTTTTTAAAAGCCAGGTTAAGGCATTAAAAATGAACCCCTGAACAGAAGTGTCATGTATATAACACTCTGGACACTGGGATCAAGTGGCAGTAACAGGCAGTCTTGCATAGGCTCAAACATACTATATGTATATATATCGGAAGAAGTTTTTTTAATCACGTTTTTCCTAATCTTTTTGTATGATCACATGAAGAAACGGTGACCCATCAGTTGTAATCTGACTGTCAAAGTCAGTCTATGCAATGTATTGGTAATAGTACTACATCAGTACATTATCTCCAGCTGTTGCTTCCCACATCCCCCCTTTTTAGAGAGTTTGACTTTGTGTTTACAGCTTCTGTATCTTCTCACCCATAATCACCATTCTACCAGCAAACTTCAATGAAACCCAAATTTTACGACAAAAGCCACTTCTTTTAAAATATTAAAATTTCACCCATATTAAAATCCCAATATTTTATAATAAAAATTAAAAAGTTGGGATTTTTTGGTTCTTTGGTTCAGCTGCATTGCTAAATTATGATCCAAACTTTTTTTGGGGGGGGAGGGGGAGAGGCGGGTTGTTGTTTTTAAAAAAATAGAGAGAGAGACATTACATCCCAGGCTAAGTGTCTGAAATATTTTTACACATTAAGATAAAAATGTCAGGGCATTGTCCTTAAGAAAAGTTTCATATACATATAAATTTTCCCTCTGGGTTGAGCTCAAACAAAAAGTTTCAGACTAAGAAACTTACCCATATAGGTAGTAAAAAAATGATAGGAGGTAAAATGCTAGTTTGCACCATCCTTCCTTCTGACAATACGCTAAAATATCTGCATTCATGATGGTTGTAGGATCATAAAGACCTGGTCCACTCATCACAGGTCTGCTCATATACCTGGAAAAGACAAATTAGGTTAGCAGTTAAGTTTGGAAAAGAAAGCTATGGGAAAAGTAGGTTCGCCCACCCCCAAAAAACAAAATAGAAATTTGCATAAAGAACCATGCATCTTTAACTGCACTAAACATTTACTCCATCCAGCAATTAAACCAGGAGAGTAAAGTCTGAGACCCCAACCTAAGGCCTTGCCTGTATGGGGATGCATCACTTGATGATTGCCTGTTCTGTTCATTCCTTCTGAAGCACCTGGCATTGGGCACTGTTGGAAAACAGGATACTGGGCTAGATGGACCATTGGTCTGATCCAATATGGCTGTTCTTATGCGCTTATGGTGGTTTTTTGCACTGTAGCTGCACTGCACCAGCATAGTTTATCTCAACTTCAAATCATATTACATTATAGATGGTGCTATACCAAGGGTGGGCACGACAACCCTTTAAAATAGGATGTAGGATCTAAGGCACCATATTACAGGCTTAAAGAACTAGAAAAGGTGTAGAAGAGAGCAACATGGGAGAGAACCAAACATAATTTGTATGGTAAAATACTTAGGATGGTTTTGGTAACTTCAGCACCATTTAAAACATACTGGAGTACTCCCATTCTTGCTTATCAAGTTGGAAGAAACATTCCTTTTCAGAAATAAAAGGAAAATAGTCTTTTTTTACTTTTTTATAACTGTTGCGTAAGATTTTCACCATCTTATCACAATGGGCCTTTATGCTTTATTGCTGAAGAAATGGGACAGTTAAACATCACAAAAGGACAGTAAGTTATAATTAAGGCTACGGTTTTGTCACGGAGGTCGCGGAAGTCATGGAATCCGACGGAGGTTGCAGAAGACACGGAATCCATGACTTCCAAAGACCTCTGTGACTTCAGCCCTGGTGGCTGGGAGCTGCAGGGTCCCGCCGCCTCCCGCAGCGGCAGGGAGCTGTTAGGTACCCCGCTGCCTGCCCCCATACTCCCGGCCACCACTGCAGGGCGGAGGGACCACCCTGCAGCTCCCCACTGCTGGGGAAGGGGTATGGAGACCCTGGAGATCTGAGCCCCCACACGTTGTGGGGGCCCCAGAGCTCCCAGCCACCCCGCAGCTGCCACTCCCTTCCCATTTTATCATGGATATTTTTAGTAAAAGTCATGGACAGATCACGGGCAATAAAGAAAAATTCACAGAAGCCCGTGACCTGTCCCTGACTTACTAAAAATATCCATGACAAAATCTTAGCCTTAGTTATAATTAACACGAGTAGAGAAATCAAACTTATCAATATTACCTCCAAATATGGTAAGCCAACAAAGGCATATTGAGACCCAGTGTAAGCCACTCTGCTGCACAGAGAAACATAACACAGAAGAATGCATGGATGAGGTACTCTGGAAGTACAAGCTGAAAAAGAAAAATATGCATCAGAACATGTAATTAAACAACATACAGCTTGGTTTGAATTTCTATTTATAAGGTAAATTATTGGTAAAAATTCCCAACTACTATATAGAGAAAAACACTCAAATGGGCAAGTAAACTGCAGAAAGTGAAAACAGCAACTGGCAGAATACACCCTGAAATTTACAGAAAAGTTTATGTATATTAATGAATACCCAAGAAAATTTACAAGCTGGAATGCTCAGATTATGGAAGCTTTTATTACTTATTAATTAGCTACGTGCACTGTGAACAGCTTCCACATTTTTTACAACATACCTGTGACATAAGAGTAGAGCATCGAGATATTTCTGCATATGCCCCACATAGACACATCCATGGGAAAAGTAATCCCTAACAGTTTTTATGCAAGAGTTTGTTTTGTATTTTACTATTTTTCAAGCTTTGAACTTGATACACTATATATGTACAGTATTTATTAAAACAGACTATTACCAAAACCTTATTTCTGGTGCAAAGTTTTATTAGACAAAAGGAGCATCAACATTGTTAAGCACACCAATATGCACACATACAAGCAATATGCTTTCTGCAATGTAGGAGGGAACAACAGTAAAATGCACATACAATTTGTGGCATATTAGCCAGTTCCATTTTCCTTTGTACAAGACCTTTCAAATACTTAACACCTGCCTTCTTTTTACCATTGTGCTTTCCAGCAGAAGCGTACAGAGGTAATGCTGATTACTCTCAGATTAGTGAGAGCATAAAATACCAGGTAACCCTGCTAGTGCTATTAAGAGATAAGCAGTATAGAAACATATGTAGATTAAATGTAGGTGAAATACCATAAAATCAAGAAAACCCCATGCTCATCACAAAAGTAAAATCCTTCAAAGGCATATATACCAGAAAGAATCTTATCACCTACTCTTTTGAATTATACAATTCTCCCCAAAAGTTCATCCATACATTTGAAATGCTCACAGGATAAATATCTACAAGCTGTTTCATGTAAAATTATTCAATTGCTACTACATATTTCAATCAAGGGTTTATCATAAACTAAAGATTTACCGGTAAGTTAAATTACTAAGGAGTCTACTCTCCAAGTGAAGCACACACAAGACAACTCTTATTCTTTGACTTTGACCAATTTGTGTATCTAGGATGACTGCCTCAGAATGTATTTTGCAGTTTTCTTTCAGTTAATACTGTCTAAAAGCAAATATTTGTTTTAAACACCTAAAAAGGTCTAACTAGAAATCTATAAACTAGAAGCAAACCGAGTTTTGTTCCTTATGCACATTCTAATACACTGTTTCTTTAAATGACTATTGTCAAACAAAACCAACTTACATCAACACAAACTCAAGTCATCAACTTTCTTTACATTTGTAAAATAATTACTCTTCTTGTCCAGATCATTCTTGTATACTCACCATATGTAACTTTTAGATGTTATTCCAATTATTTAAACTAAAAAAAGTCTGACCACCAAGCAAGACCTGTTTGCTAGACCTGAAATCTACAAAAATTAAAACTAACCATATGTCTCAAAGCATTCATTTCCCTTACATCTAGGTTTTTGTGTTCTGCCCCCACAGCAGAGTATCAGACTGCCTTTTAAGTATTTAAAACTATGTTATCTTTCTTCATTTCCAGCCTACACGAGAACTAGTTTGATTCGTTTACAGGTCACCATGCATTTTCCCCTAAAGGCTAGGAAGGAAGAAATATTATTTCTAAATACTCAAGAGAAGCTTGGATACTGTTGTGATGGGGGCCGCATACAGAGAGGGAGATGCTAAGCGTTATGTGAACCAAAACTGGTACTCTAGCGAAGTATTTATCTTTCATGACTAAAAATGTTCTCCCCTAGAATTTAAACTTCAAGACAATGGATCATGTCCCTTCATGTATTTGTAAAGCATCATGTGCATTTACCATACTCTTCAACGAGTAACGGTCGCAAATTCACCTTTTCATAGTAATCTAACTCCACTAGCACAGTAAATACCACGATCAAGATTTTCAATGTACACAAAGCTATCATATAACACCTCATTCATGTATATTAACATTAGGTTAATAAAATATTTGTTTTGAACATGCACATTATAACAGCCTTTTATTAAATTTGTGATAAGATCATAATGCATAAATGTAATGAGTATTTGCCTTCCCCCATACTGTTGCAGAAATGACTGTAAAACAGACTGAGTTGGGGAAACTGTTAGATGCGCAGCTATTCAGGCACCACTTTCCAAGATGCAGTCTCTCCACTCACCCACCCTCATGCTGCAAAGCTCTCTGGCTGTCTAAGACACATTCTTTTTCAGCTTTGAATTCAGTCTCCATTGGTGTGATTCTACTTAATTCTGCAGAACACCACGATTTACAGTGCAGCCTTCCAGAGGCACACTTCACTGCTGTGCTGCCCTGTGTTTTTATCTCCATCTGGCCACTCCAAGTCAAAATGAAAGGGATGGTGAATGGGCAAAGACATACTGCGTTACTGAAAATACCTACTTTCTAACACCCATAATATTATTTGTCTGTCAAAGATGCAAGCAAGCTAAAAGTGCTTGAGGCACAGCATTAACAAATAGGAATATAATTAAGAGTTGTGTCCAAGAATACACAGTATTCTGAAAGAATACTGGGGATATCCTTGGGAAGCCAACCTCCACCTCGGAAATTGTAAGGCCAGATCAGAATTAATCCCCCCCCCCCTTTTTTTTTAAACAAACTAGTCTCCTAGATTCTGAACATCAGAAAGTTCAGTGAACCTGGCTTGAGAGATGATACCATTTATTGTATTTCTTCAGTTGCTGTGACTGTTCAATAGATTTTAGGCATATAACAGTTTTCCCACACTTCAGTGGGTAAGCAAGCAAACTTATTTTGCACAAAATATGAAAGTTCATGAAGTTATTATAAACCTGAACAAACAAAACAGGCAGATGAGCAAGCACACTGAACAAAACATCTTAATAGTAATACAAATGTTCCTAACAAAATGAAAGTAAAAGTGGGATTAAAACATTAAACTAAAAAGCAGTACACACCTTTAATGCAATTTTGACTCTTTTAATCTTTTTGACCTTTTCAACTGTCTTTGTGCCGAAAATGTAAAAAGCAGATTGAAAGAATGTTAGTAGGACAGCTGACAAGATCATCAGCAGATTAATAATAGTCAGAATATTCAAGATTGAAAGTAAAGAAGAATCAGATAAAGAATTCTGTCTAGAAGTTCTATCAAATATACTAGACATTACCAGCAGAACAGAATTTTTAATGGCCTTTTTGATTAAATCAAGATAATAGCAACAAAAATTATTTATAAATTTATGCAAAGAGGAATTCTTTATCATGTAACTTACAGGATTGAGTGTATTACATTGGTCTATGGGATTCTTGTAATCAGTCTTCAGCTCATCAAATGCTATAATCTAGAATAAAATTGGAACAGTTAGGACTCTTCAGTTAAAAAGCAATAAAAAACATCTCACCACAAAATATCATTTATTGGTACAGAGCCATAAGTGCTACGAACACAATCTTAGTAAGGTCGTTTTACTCATGTAAAAGAAATAATTCCATAAACTAAATCACCTAGAGCAACAAAGTATTTGAAACAGGTCTGCTTTGGTTTAAAAAACATTCAAGCACATTTAAATTAGCTTCAGATTATTCTAGACATTTTATATACTCACAATGCTCTGGCATTACATCTTTGCATTTCATTCCCTCATTCCCTTTCCCCCCCCCCCCATGCAGAGGAGTTATATAGTGTCATTGCAAATAGCATTCAGTCCCACAGAATATATCCATGGTGCATAAAAAAACCCCAGGAGGTTGCACACGTGACACACTTTCTCTGTGCTGAGTGCTTGTCACTTATGCCAGCCAGCTAATTAAAAGGAAGTGATCGGAGTCTTTGAAGAGGCTGAATGGATGTTATCTTCACGGTCAGAGTGTGAGATGGCTGGCAAGGGAGATATAGTCAGGAAAAAGTCAAGAACATCTTTTAATGACAGAACTTTTACCATACACTGATGCTTAGGAAAAGGTGAACCTGCCAGGGTGAAATAGAGTCAAACCCATTTTTTGTAAAATGGATACCATGGCACCAAACAAGACCAAACAGGTAATTTATACACAAAAAAGCAAGAACCATAGAAAAATAAGTATGAGAACCAAAACAGCAAGTAATCAGTACTATCAGTATCCTTTATATTCAGTGTAAACTAGAACATGTCTACATAGCATCCTTTAAGTTACAATAAAAAGCTTATTAAATAACTACAAAGCAAAAATTGAAACTGAACAAATCTGAATATATGCACACACACTATTCATGCTGGGGAGAAGCACTTAACACACATTTTAATTTATTTCCTCCCTCAGATCCAATGGTACTTCCTGGTTTGCTTAAAGCTGCCCGAGGATGTATCTTTGTGGCATCACTTGGATTATGAGAGACTTCTGGTAACAGGGATGTCCCACAATGATGCATCCTGGGACAGATTCAGCAATGGATTAATGGAGAAGAAAATTATAACATATTGGTTAAAATACTCAGGAAAAAAAATCATCAGTTTATCTGGTACACATCTAAATAGGTATCTTAGCAACTGCAGGGACCAAAACTTTTTTCTTTAATTAATACATAAATAAATAAATAACCCTTAAAATTCTGCTGATATTAATGGCTTAGTCCTCCAAGCTCATCAAGGAAAATATCATCTTTTAATTTATCTTCAAAAAATCCACTCATTTACTTATGAAGTTCATTCCTAAAGATGATCTATCAGTGCTTCTCTCCAAGAGCAGGCATCTCATAGCCACCTGAAACTAGGTTTCCTAAGGTTCCACCATTAGTCTTTTCCCCTCTCTGGCAGTAGAAAATCCAAGACCTCAAATAATAAGTAATATTTACTCAGGATTTACATTTTAAAAGGTAGCAAACCACAGAGGAAAAGAAGCTCACTTTTTCCATTCATTACAAAACATATTTGACTTGAGACTGAAACATTTTAAACACGTATTCCTTCACATAAAACACCAATATTTAAAAATATAAGACACCCACATTTTCAACAAAAATGTTTAATAAAACAAACCCAGTTTGCATTAGCCTTTGAAAATTCTACTCATCCACAGGTGAATACTGTCAGTTTTGCATCATTAAGGTAATGATAAGCAAGCAGGTCATGTATCTGGACTGGTGAGTTTTCAGGACAATTTTGCAAAGCTGGGTTTACACCAACAGGAAGTTACTAAGCATATCTGATCAATTATTTTACACGTGCCATTTCAAATATACACAAAATAGGGCACTATTCCTCAAACCAATAATCCCTAAGCACATCCAGCCATGGCCAAAGGTCACATGCAACTGGGTCAATTCTGCATGGTGCAGAGTTGGGCTGGGGTGGGGACCACGGTTAGCAATGGCAGAGCGGTCAAATCTTTGCCCCCACCCTGTGTGCACACAGGTGGGATGGAGCTGGCTCTCTGAGAGTAGCAATGGGGCAGGAGGAAGGTGGTTAGCTCTCTGCCCCCACCCCTGTGAATACACGGAGATGTAGAGATGGCTGGGGAGGGGAGTTGAATTCCCCCCCACCCCCGGGGATGTAGAGATGGCTCTGGGAGGTCAGAAATAGGGACAGATCAATCTCTGTCCCCACCCTTAGCAGTGAAGAGGGTGGAGATGGTGCGGGGGAGCCTCAATGAAAGGAGGGTTACATCTTTACCCCCACCCCTGAGTGTGTGTGGGGGGGGGGAGATGAAATGGCTCAGGGATGGGTGGGCAGCAACGTGGGGGTGGGTTGATCTCTGCCCCCATTCCTGTGAGTGTGGGGGGTGGGGGGAGATGGCTCAGGGGAATAAGAATGTGGGGGCCATTACATCTCTGCCCCCACCCTATGAATGTGAGAGGGGAGATGGCTGGGGAGGGGGAGACAACAACAGTGGGGCGGTTAGATCTCTGACCCCCCACCCCTATGAGCGTGGGGGATGGCTCGGGGGGGCAGAAATAGGGGTCAGTTACATCTCTGCCCCCCCACCCCTGTGAGCGCGGAGGATGGCTCGGGGGGGGGCAATAGGGGGCAGTTAGATCTCTGCCCCCCCACCCCTGTGAGCGCGGAGGATGGCTCGGGGGGGGGCAATAGGGGGCAGTTAGATCTCTGCCCCCCC